AGATCACCAGACGCTGTGGATCCAGACCCTCCAACAGATCCAGACATAGTAACAGCCCGTGGTATTCTGCCTCATTCACGGTCAAGCCTTCGGCATACCCTGATCTAGCTTTCACCACCCTCCATTCGGGCAGCCTCCACAAGATCGCGCTGTAGGCGCCTCCACCCCTCTTGACACGGGCTGATCCATCGAAACTGATGACATATAGTTCCTCATCTCGTCCGATAGTGGGGATCGGAGCTTGGATCTTGCGTCTTGGCTCCTTTTGGGGGGCGATTGAGATCAACGCCTTATCCACTTCTGATCTAGGGGTGATACTGGCTGCCAGTGCTCCCAAGATCTCTCTCCTTTGACACACTTGGTGATCTCCAGTGTCCAAGGCGACAACAAAGCGGTCCATTGTCCTAAACGTCCTTGTAAGGCCGTGAATCTGAAGAGCCACGCCAATGTTGAGTGTCAGGTTAACACATGGATCGGACGCCCCACCAACGCATTGTAATTAAGATCGAGGATCCTCAGAAAGGCTAGTACCTCCTTCTCCGCGATGCCGTAGTTTAGCTCATTCGACTTCAGAGTACGGCTTGCAAACGTCAAGGGGTAGTAGATCTGGTCGTATTCTTGCATCAATGATCCTGAGATGGCCCAATCGCTAGCGTACACCACCACTGTGGCCTTCCGATCTGGGTCAAAGTGTCGTAAGATCGGAGTTGTACCGATCCGACCGATGGGGATGGTCATGGATCCAACGCGGATCCACCTCAATAGGGTCGGGCGCCTCCAGATCCAAGGTCCTTCGGTGGTCGACACCCCGATTTTCCTGCGATCCTTGATCTGCGTTCTCCACTTCCAGTACTTGTTGGATCCGCGTTTGGGTAGCCTCCTTCGTCATCGCAGCAAAGTCGATTTCTCGCAATTCGTACAGAACCGACGCGTAGATCGCGTAGCCTTCAATAAATCGGCTATAGTAGTTCAGACTTCCCAATAATGACTGCATAGCTCTGCGTGATCCTGGAAATGCCAGATCCGTCAATGCAGACAGATCTTTCGGATTTGCCTCCAGTCCATTGTGCGAGACCCTATGCCCGAGATATTCCACATTAGGCATTCCCCAGAAACTCTTAACGACACTGATCGACAAATTCCACTCATCACACGCCTCGAGTAAACCTTCGACTCGATCATATAGTTAACTAATAGCGGGGATCAAGATGTCATCGATATATGATCTGCGACCAAGCACCGAGGGCCTGCCTGGATCCACCGGTCCCCCGTCCTCAAATACATCCGTAGTGCTTCCGGGATCTTCCGACTTCGGGATCCGGGCGAATCCATATAGCGCGTTATCGATCATACGTTGATAGATCTGGGGCGCATTCTTCTAGCCAAAATGCATTCGATT